GTGTACTCCACTTTGGTCTTGCTTCCGTCGGCAGAGCTGGTGAAGTAGTAGTTTCCCATGGCGATGGCCTATGGCTGATCTAGAGCCCCTGTTCGGAAGGTGGGGCCCGTAACCGTAGTTTGCGGGAGAATTCTTGAACTCATTTGCAACGGTTATTGTGATATGACCTGCTGGGCATTCACTTGATTGTAAACATCAGCAGAGGAAGACCCAATGGGACCACAGACGGGACTAAGGAGGCCAAGGACCACTGTGCCAGGGGAGTGGAGGGCAGGGCCCCAGGGATTGGCAAAACCAGGACTTGGCCAGACCTACTCAACAACCTTGCCTCCTACTATGACCGCTAGTGCAGTTGTAACACTGCTAGTGCCATCTTCAGCTTTTACTTTCCTACATCGTACTCCTTTTGCTCCTGGTTTAGGGTTTAGGGCTAAGCACAGCCTAGAATACCTATCACGCGGCGAACATTCTTGTTCCATGTTGGTCCCAGTGGCGACATTGCCCGTCACGTCGATCTGGTGGTTGTGGAACCTAAGCCCCGAGCATGCCAGGGGAGAAGGGTCTGGAACTTGAGGCTCCAAACTGTTAACTTTCAATCAAACCAAAACTCCTGAACTGCAAGCCTTCCAACTTTTAACTTAGTGCGTGCTTGGCGTTCCATGGTGCTGGTGGGCTGACACTGTTTTGGAACTACATAAGCAGTTCCAGGCCGTGTGTAGAAATCATTCGGGCTGTAGCTTCTCTGCCCAACACAACAAGGCCAAAAACCTGCCCCCAAACTGGGTTGCTGTTAAGTAAGCTATTTTAGGCTAACGAGGATCTGGATTATAATCCCCCTTAAGGGGAGGAGGTTTATTAATAAGGGGTCTACATTACCCCTAAACCCTAAACCCTAAATGGTAGTTTCCATTTCATTTTCCATTATCCCAATATAATTAACCCTCTAATCCTAATTTTAGGGGCCTACACTAAACCCTAAACCCTAAATGAGTACCCAGGAACACCACATCAGCCCAGCCTTTCCCACCGTTGATGGCAAAGCCAGCATCCTCAGGAGGTATTTTGCTATTTAGGGTCCATGAACGGGTATATAGGGTTATATAAGGGGATTCTATAGGGATTATATAGGGATCATGGAAAAGAACATGGAAACTACTATTTGGGGTTTAGGGTAAGGCTGGCTACCGTCGGGCCTAACTTATATAGTCAGCCGAAGAATGATCAGGGGGATGATCATCGTCGTGGTGGTGGTGGTGCTGGGTGGGGGGAGACCCCCGCGCAAAAACCCTACGCCTACGTAAGCACCCCTATGCCTTTCGGCGCCTCAACACCACTATGGACCCCTACGCCTACACCTTTCAGCGCCTCAACACCCCTGAGGACCCCTACGCCTCCGCCTTTCGGCGCCTAAACAGCCCTACGCCTTTCGGCGCCTAGAAACCCCCGTGCCTACGCCTTTCGGTGCCTAAACACCCCTAAGGACCGCTACGCCTACGCCTGTCGGCGCCTAAACACCCGCAAGACCCCTAATCCTTTACTCTGCAGGTGGCATGCTTTAGGTTAGAGCTTAGGATCTATGGACTCAACATAGACCTCAAAATACAAGTATTCTTAGTATAGGGACCCGCAAAAAGTACACCTAATTTTGGGAAACAGGCCTTTTCGGGACTTGGCTTTTCTTGGATAAGGGTCTAGGGTTTCAGATTGAGTTTCAGTGAGTGCAATACCGGGGCTGTTAAGCAGAAGTACTCCCAGAGCATCAGGGGACTGTGTTTTTATTCTGCGGAACCAAGGAATTGGAGGGAAGGTTTTTCTTCGAATCGGGAAATAAAATCTACCTCCCGTTTGGGATTCGTATTGTTCGAAGATGCCCGCCGGTCAAAAAGGTCATGATAGGATCTGCATCATCCCTGTCTGATGGCTACTCCTCGTTGCCCGCATGTGTTTCATTGGGGGCAAGTAGCTACTTCTCTCCTTAGTCGGGTAATCAGAACACAGCCAACCCTGGACATCCTCCGCAATGCCGTTCGCCACTGCCTTGTGCCCAACGAAATACCTCAACCGCAGACTACTTCGACAAGGATTCATAGACTTCTGCAGAACCTCATAAAAAGTCAGGCTCCGAAATTGCGGATTACCAAATTCATTATGAACAACAAACAAAGCTTGCGTTCCAAAATCGGCTTGGATGCGACATTGCGTCGGAGGCTGTTGGCCGGAATTGGTGCGTGGCTGCCTGCTGGGTCATCATGGGATTACTGTTGCCTGGCTTTGAGGTAACGTTTAAAGTTGGCCATCCCTGAACCCTAAACTCATGCAAAGCCTCAGAAAATCACAAACCCTAAAACCTAAACCTATTCTGCCATCTTCAGGCCTTGTATTCCAACTCTGGATTCCTGTATACGGATTATGGGTTTACATATTAGGGGCTTGTATAGGGATAATGGAAAAGAAATGGAAACTACTATATATTGTATAGGGTTACATGAGGGTAATATAAGGTTATGTAGGGATAACGGACAAGAAAATGGAAACCACTACGGTACGTTATAATACCTTTCAGATCTACCCCAGCCTTGGTAGGCTTGAAGAGCACATTGGTGTGGCCATATCCATACAGCTCACCTGCGGCCTTGGCGGCCTCCGCGACATAGTCGCCTTGTGTTGCCCATGCTATCAGGCGTTCCAAAGACTCTGAGCCCTTGTTTTGAAAGTCCCCCACCCCTGCTCTCGCCAATATATTTTTTTGGTCCTTTTTGATCCCCACACAGTCCATACAGAACCGTAGAACGGGGTCCATGTTTCTTTTGTTAGGTCCGCACCTCCAGAAAGGTAGGTCTTGGAGATGGTCTTAATGGCGTTGGCCCAGGCCGTCTGCACAGCTTGCACTTCCTCCTCGGAGATGGCGGGCACGAAGGGCACCTGGGTCTCTGTTGAGGTCATGTATATATGATTGTCCTAACAGCCTACGCCTTTCTCTCAGACTGTACAGTACAAACTGTGTGGCCCTTCCACAACCACCAAGACGCTGAGGAATGGTGCAGGAAG